AACGCGGCGCTTCTGCCGCAGCCTCACGGCTTGGAACAGCTCTGCCCCCAGGGACAGCGGAGCAGAACGGGGCTTCCAACGGCGGAGGCTCACGCTGGAAAACAGCAAAAAACACCTCTCGGCGTGGGCTGCCGACAGCGGCCCCGCTCTCCAGGCAAAGGCTTCGTTCAAGCACTCGCTCGCGCGGACCGCGCCGCCGGCCAGCGCTCCTCCAAACCGCTCAAGGAGGGCGGCCGGAGCAGGGAAGAAAGGCAGCAGCAGGAGCGTCCCAACAGCAGGGAGCGGAGGCAGGAGGTGGGAGCTGCTGATTGATCAGCAGCAGGACAAAGCGAGGAAGGCCACGCTAACGATGAAAAATGCTACGGGAATTAAGGGCGGGAGCGGGGATCCGAGCTGGAGAAGGCAACGTTTGCCCTCATTAGCACGACTTTGAGGAGCTGAAAGGGTGTGGTGAGCTGGCACATGGGAGCCTCTCACACAAACACAATTGATGTTGGAGACGGGCAGCCCTTAGAAATCCATCCTTTCTCCAAGCGCTTCCCCGTGACAAGCCTTCTGCCGTGCAAAACAAGCAATAACGCCAGCGTTATCCCGATGAGGGGGGCAGAGTTAAAATGCAGCCAAATCTTACAGTGCTTACAAGCAGCCTGCTTAAAACCAAAGGGAATCCAGAGAAGAACATGCCCGAGTTCATATAGAGCGACCTGGCTTTCGACATCAAAGCAAAATCAACATATTTAAAGGTATCTAGGGCCTGACCTCATGGCACTCCTTGATGTTCCAGCTGCTAATGCTGAGGGCGGTTTTGAGAACAGCTCATCACCCACATGGCCACGGTTCCATGCTTAGCACCAGCCATTTCAGGCACATTTTGATGAAGGAGCGATGCAAAAAGCTCACAAATGCAAACAAAAAGAGCTCAAAAACCTGGTCAAGTGGGGGATTTGCTGGGCACGGAAGAGGAGGAGGGGGGACCCCAGCGCTCTGTTAAGTGGATTGACAGGTGTCTAATAGCACTTTGCAAAGCACTAAAGTGGCTCACGGGAACCCTCATTGCCACCAAGCCCGAGTGGTCTTAACCTAATGTGCTTAATCTGCCCAAAAAGCTCCTTAGATTCCTGAGGATTAGCCCCAAACATCGCATCCAGCCAGCAGTGACTACTTGTGCCTAGATATGCCAGATACCTTGAACGCAGAGGTGGCCAAGGGAGAGCCCCACGCCAAGATGACACCGCACGTGCTGCAGTGCCACCCGTGCTCATCTCCTGCCTCGGAGGTGCTTTGCAGGCCCCGCGAGGGCCCCTGGCCCTGAACACTTCTCCACGCCTGTGCTGTGGGCGGCATTCCCTGGTATCTCACTCCACAGCAATCCATGCCCGGGCCCGGAGCAAGGCTGCCCTGGCCTCTGCCAAGCCACACAGCAGAGGCTCCTGAAATATAAGAGCTGGCAAAACCAAGGACCCACTGGACATCTTAGTTACCTTTACAAGCACAGAAGCAAGGTTTAGAATTAACTAGTCTGGATTGTTTATTTGGAACTTCCTATTACGTGCAACCAAAATATCTATTTTTGCAGACTGGAGAATTTTTACTCCAGTTCTGCTACAGCTGGACCATTTTTTCATTTAATCAGCGTAACTGGGATAGACAGGGATGATGAGAAGGTTAAGACAGAAATACATTTAAAATGCTATGGTGAACAACACTAATTCTACTATGAAATCTAATCTACCCCTAAATCTGAGGTGTTTAGCAATGATCACTGGGGGAACCTTGGCCACCAGGAGAAGGGAGGACCTGAGCTCCGTGTGACGCCTCCCCGGTATCCTCCGTGTGCACATGGCATCGGGCAAGGCCAGCTGGACCACGGCAGGTGGGTCCTTCCTGGAAGGCGGCTGAGAAAGTCTCACCCATGTCCTATGCACACGCGTTCCTGCTCCGTACTCCAATTCGCACTTCTCCGGCAGAACTGCATCAAAATACTCCCTCCCTCCCTCGGCTACCAGATGTTTAAAGCTATTTTTGGCTGTGCTGTTCACTTATCTTGGCATCCACATAAAGGCCACCAAGTCCCCCATGAGCGCCAGAGAGCTGCTTACAGCAACAGGCAGCGGAGGAGATAAAACAAGGACGGCTGCCTTGTTGGTGGGGGACACAACAGGAACACGCATCCGTTCCGGCGACAGTGACGTGCTCCAGGGAGGAGATTTTATCCCAGACGAACACTGCAAATGCAAATCCCGGCGCCGCAAGCGCGCGGTTCGCGCGGATTCACATTACGCTGGCGAAGCCGGGATCGCCCCGTGACGCAAAGGCAGGTAAATGTTGAGATGTATCAGCTGACTTCTTGGGGTGCCCTGCGCCTGCTGCTACTGAATAAACAGCAACTGCAAAAATAAAAAGATCCCCAAACAGGACGTTACATGATGCTGGCAGTTACTACTGGAGCGCTAATGACAACGATCCCTTTACCCTCCCTAGAGCAAAACCAACTTCAAGTCAGCTGAAAATGTATTAAATACACCCATCCTGGCAGAGCTTCGCTGGAACTATGCAGTAAACAATCACATAATGACGGCGCAAAAATTACATTTGGTGTCTCAAAACGATGCCAAAGAAATGCTTTTGAAATGTGACTTTAACTTGCCAAGGCAGACTGAAAACCTGAGCACTGAAGTGAATTGTTTATCATAATTTAATGTAAACAACATGCTCTGAACGTGCAAACTGTCAAAGAGGAGCTGCTCGCAAATGTCAAGTCATTCTAAGGAGAATTTCCACCTTAAAAAAGAAAAAAAAAAAGTCAGAAATGCATTTTGAAAAAGATTTTGCATTAGAAAGCATAAATATTAGATGCTAAAAAAACTACACAACCACTACGAAGTGGTATCAAATTCCTGATTTTTGTCATTTTACACACCAAGACTAGAAAAGACTTGCAGTCTTCCCGATCCCCTCCTCCTTCTACAGTTATACCCCATTTAGTGCGCGCGACGCAGCAGCCCGCGCAGGGGGACGCGGAGACGGCTCCGAGCAAGCGGCACGGCAGGGCTGGAAGCAGGTACAGCAGGAGCCAAGCTATGACAGCTGGGTGTGAGCAGAGGCAACTGCAAGAGGACAGCGTTTCCTGAGGGGAAAAAATAACAACAAGAAAGCATCGCTCCAAGGTGCTTAATTAGTGGCAATTGAAGCTGTCCGTGCGCAGGAATAAAAGCGGAATAAGCAGCTCATCGATTCCCCAGCTCCTTCAGTCTTTACACATTTGTCCTCCCTGAAAAAAGATCCTGCCAATTTATACGTGTGTTATGAGAAGAGCATTAAACACCAAACCCATTTGCAGCTTTTCAATCGGTTTGCTAATACCAGCTAAAGCAGCTCTGTGACAGCCGGCCCCTGAGTGCGGCGGCAGACGGAGCTTTCGCCCAACGCACCGGGATCCTACGTTGTTCCCAATGGATTTCTGTGGCCCAAATTAATCCCTTCCCACGAGGCCAACCAGCAGATTCCAGAGAGACCTGAGCCACTCGGTAGCTTTAGGGACTTGAAAAATGAAGCTCCATTTCTCTAGCTCCAAGATGTGACTGCTCACAGGATTTCAGCTCAGGTTGGGATGCTTGTCCCCGTCTAGGAAGGAATACGGAGCTCTGAAACCTGCCAAGTAAAAACCTTCCAAGAAACAGAGACTCATTTCACAAGACTCAGCCTCAACTGTTGCTTTGCCAATACAGAGAAATCGGGTGGACAAGATGTAATAATTCTCTGCACAGAAGAAACCCTCTGAGCATCAGAGAAAAAAATTAAATTGCGCCATCATCGCCATTCATTTATAAAAAAAAAAAAAGGAAAACAGAAAACAAGGAAAAAAAATTGTTCCACGCTTATGAAATTCATCACTTGGCAGTCTCCTTTACAGCACTACAATCTAATTTACTGCTAAATAAAACTTCAAGATCTTATTTTTTGAGTGCTCTTTTAAAAAAGAAAGCAGCTGCGTGAAACTGTTCACCCAGTTTCTGAAGTTTGCCTGACAAGCGGCTTCAAAGTAGAACGTCATCTGTTTATTCCTATCAGGAATAACAGCAGACAACCGCCTAGAATTTACAATTCCTGTAGCGACAGTGCCAGCACCCCTACATCTAGGAGCATCATCCACTCAGTCACAATTTTTCTGGAAGAAGATGAAAAAAATAATAAATTGCTACAAAAGACTTCATTATCTTGTATCGCTCGCTTTCAAGCCACTCTTACAGGTTTAAAGAAAAGAAAAATGTTGTCATTGCATTGCATTATTTGATAGAAATATGCTCTAATCCAGCGGCGTTGAAACAAAACATTCACCCTGATCTTCGAGGATGTATTTAACAGTCGTGCACCACAGCCATGTAGGCTGCTATGAGAACTCGCAATATTGATTTTGCTAAGAATAAAGCTGTTTTGCAAAAAAACCCTTTGCTGCTCTCCAGCCAACGTGATTTGGGAAAGACACAACTTTGAGAAGCAACGTTCAACACAGGGAGACTGAAGCTGTAGCCATACCTGAGATATATGAAGGAGACCTGACCGCTCGTTGCACTGACACGCGTTGATAAACGCACACCCAGGATGGCGTGAGTTGCCAGCTGGAGCAGCTACTTTACTTACCATTTTCACGGTTCCCTTCTGAAACCTAATACTGCCCAAATTACTTTTAGATCACCTTAAAAAATAAGTATTAAGTGTCAGATTAAGCACTAAAGAAAATCAAGTGTTTTCTGTCAGCAGGCCCCCATTTCACCGTTTCCCCTGCCCCGTACGTGACCTTGGGCAACCGCGACTGCCAGGGTCTCTTGGCGAGGACGATGAGGGGAAGCAGAGAGGAAACCATCCCCCGCGCGACACCTGCAAGGCCCCGGGGGCAGCGCGTGCGTCCCGGCGCGACAGCGCGGCACCAACGTCACGCTGCTGCTCAAGAGCTTGGGCTCCACGGGAGGACACGCCGTGACGCGCGGCAGCTCACTCACCGTTCCGGCTTTCCTCGTCGATAGGCACTATTGTGGCTGGGGGGCCTGTCCTGGCCAACTTGCAATCTATAAAGAGGAAAAGAGTCGTTAGTCCTCACACCAGAGGAAGGGTCTTGCATAGTTTTTCCTCTTCAAGCAAGCTACGGTGTTGCTTAAATAAGATATAGGTACAGGCTACAACTGCGACCTAGTTTACGTGTATAGAGGATCAAGATCCGAGCTGCTCCTTCATCCTTTCCTCTGCTAAAACTTCACGAGGCAAAGGAGATGATGCAAAGAAGGGACTGCAGAGCCCAGATGCTGATCCATGGGTAAAACCAACACCTGAACAGCATAATCTTAACACACTACCTCTTAGGTGAGCCTCACTTCCCGTGTCACCAAGACACGTTATGGACACAAGGTGGTTTGGTGGCCACTAAAATCCCCCTGCAGAGGAGCACTGCAGAGGAGCAGAAGTCCTTTGGGGCACGGACAAGAGGATGGCAATTTAACCCAAAGAGGTGACAGAGGCATGACTCAAAGCATCACAACCAAAACAGAGCATTGTCTCCAATCTTATTGCAAAGGAAGGGTCTAACTAAAGAGGGCAAGCAGCATTTTCATGGTGTTTCAAGGGGAAAAACAAACAAACAGAAAATGAAAAACAGACGAGCAATGCTCAGGAAGTTACGGTTTTGCCATCTTACCCTCATATTGCCAGTCTGGAGTCAAAAGTTTAGAGTCGTCAATGGAAGCACAGCAGAATAACGAAAGAAAATAAGAAAGATTTGGTTGTTGAGCTTAAAGGAGAGCTTCACAGGCACAAAGAGCAGTACAGGCAGAGCGAGCAGAGTCACTGGTGCGCTCGGAAGCAGCATGACAAGCGTGTGGGGCAGGTGCAATTCCACAGCAGCAATTGCACCACGGCTCATCGCAGGATGTAACAAGTTCTCCAAAACAAACAAACAAAGCAAAACCCACATTTATTACGATCTTCTCCAAGTTCACAATTAGGCAAACCAAGTGACTTGAGTAAAGTTTCTTTTTCTGGCTGGGACACGTCTGCCAGACAGTAACGCACTTACCAGAGCGCCCAACTGAGGGCAATTTTCTAATTCCAGGGATGACACACGCCTTACCTGAAGGACACCCCGGACTTCTCCTGAACACAGGGTAACCTTTTCTCATCGCTTGCCTTCCTGTGAGTGCATTTTGGGCACACGTGGGGAAATTTCATGCTAATCCACGTTCCCTTCTGCCCAGTCTCCCACAGAAGCCGAAGGCGACTTGCAAAGGAAACGTTACCCAAAACGTTACTGTGGAACCACGCGCGTGCAGAATCACTGCTTACCCTCCTTACACCCTCTAGAACTGTTGCCTAATGCAGACAGAAGCATCTTGCTGGTCTTCTCGAAAAGCAGGGGCTCTTCCAGTGATTGTATTCTCCTTTTGGCACTGCACATTGCCACCGTAGCATCAAACATATACGCCAACAGTAGGGAATTCTGGGAATTCCCTCAACTACAAAAGTAAATTACTGGAAGAATATTCTGATTTATTCCCTGCCGTTAAGGGAAAAAAAGGAAAAAACACTCTATTAGGCAGAAACTTCCCCGGGCTATTGCTGACCCGCGGGAGGTGGCCACGCTCAGCCTCTTCACCGTGAGTGTGCGGCTGTGACAACAACCGAGAGCAGCGGTGACAGCCGGGCGCCGAGCGGGGCGGGAGGCCCCGGTACCCTAATCCGCTCCCGCACGTTCCGAAGCAGCTGACCTTCACCTAAATCCACAGATTTCGCTGAGCGCCGGCATTACAGGCCCACTTGTCTCCTTGTACCCTGCACACCGGCAGGCCCTAAAGCCAATTTATCTGATATATATAGAGAGGGGATTAGGGGAAAATCCTGGGCTGGTTCACCCCCGAGAACAGCCCTGCAGCTTCGTTAAGCTCCCTTGATCTCAATGAGCCTCATGCAAGGAAAGAACGGGGTGAAGCCAACACTAGCTTCGCATCAGCAGGCGTCTGCTCAGCCTGCAGCCTGGTGGTGAAGTTCTCCTGCCCCGGGCCAAGGCAAATGGTGGAGGCCACAGAAGGTTTCCTCACCCGGCCCCTTCCCACGGCCCCCTCGTGCCACGCGCGGCCACGGCGTGACCCACTCGGCCCACGGTGCCTCACGTGGGCTCTGGGACGTCTGGGACAAGGACAACCGTTGTGGGAGGAGCCAAGTCATGGCCCTGCTCCTCCAAAGCCTGCATTGCTGGGTCAGTACAACCCCTTCCGCTTCTACTATCTTGAAGTATTTCAGACTTTTCCTCCCCATTTCCCCCTTCATTATGAAGGTGGGCGAGAGTAACACCGTGCTTGAGCCACATCCCACGTTGCAAAATCCAGCACCTATCCAGGGACAGCAGTTCCAAGGAATTACACCTTCGCATTGGTATCTGTTGTCCAAAAATTACTGAATGTGCTACTGCTCCCTAGGGAATACCACCTGTAACTTCAAGATTATGATTAAATGAGATGATTTTATTCCACTGCCGCAAATGTTAACAGTGAAGAGCTTGACTCAGGCATTTGGAGAGGCTGCCCTACAAAGAACCAGCCCAACATTTCACCTCCAACATCAAAACCTGTAAGGTGAGGATGCAAACTGAGACATTAGCTCTTTGGGGTTTCACCAGCATCATGAGCACCGCGTTATCTGCTTTTTTTTTCCTTAAGCTCTATTGCAATCTTGATTAATTCTGAGCATTTCCAACTCTGTTGGGAGAGGGAAAGAAAAAAAGGAGTTGGTGAAAGAGGTGATAAAAAAAACAGGGTATTTGGAGCCTTATGTCTCTTCTGGAACCGTTAAGCACATGAAATGGTTGTACAAGACTGGAATGTCCAGCTAAGAGCCCTGCTAACGCTCAGACACCACCGCTGTGTTAGCAAGAGGGGCTTTAGTAAGGAGTAGATATGTGACTTTGCTCCCCTGCTCACTGGAAACTCAAGACAGCCCGTGCACGTGCCACACAAAAGAGCCACCGTGCAGAAAAGGCCAAGAAACGTCCCACTGGAGACACAGGCTGAGAACTGCAACCGCAACCGCCCGCAGAGCCCCCGCGGTCACAAAGCCCCCCGTCTTGGGAAACACAGACTTCTCTTTCGAGACGTGTGGTAAGAACAGAAATGCACAAATTAGTCTAAATTAACCATATGACACCCACAGTTTATGCACAAGGTGTTCAGAGAACCGCCCATGAAGGAGTCTCTCTAAGCATGGCCCTTTGCAGCCCGGGGCTCCCCATACAGAGCTGCACAGACCCACACATTTAAGCTACCCGAGTAACCAAGCAACCCCGTTTAAGGGCAAAAAAAGGCCCTGCCTTGTTTCCTAGCCAATTCAGAACTGCAGCTGGGCCGCTTAGGGCACGCTTGGCACAACCTTGGCATTTGCCGACGCGTCCCACAATCGCTCCGTCTTGCCACGAGCACAAGAGGGACTTTCACAGGCTCATCAGAGCAACCCCCCACGGACGCCTCCAACTGCAGGAGCTGAAGAAACGACGGGGAATTTCATCCAAGCCGATCCCCGATCCTCTCCAAATAACCGGGATTGCTTCGATTCAGCCGGCAAGGCGACCGCTCCAAAATTCACAACGCGGGGATTCGAGGATGCGCGGGAAGGACGGTGGCTTAACTGCAAAAACAACCAGCTTGGGCTATTTTGGGGCTTGGTTTTCCTTTTTAAGCTAAGAAAAGCTGTGGCTGATGGACAGCCAAGTACGAAAAGGACACCAACTGAATAAGGGTATTATTATGAACTCTTGTTCACATAGCCTCAGAAAAATTTAAGTCATAGCAAACACGCCACCTAAACAACAGATTTACTTCAGCGCTTTATTTCTCCTCTAACTTTTCTGGACAGATGTAATATCTATATGAAGGGTTTGCTATGGGAAAATTGCTCTGCAAGTCTGTGCAATGCTATTTTACTTTAACTGCTTTGGAAAAAGAAAAATAGCAGCACCATCTGTCTTGAGGGCAATATTCGCTCAGATGGAAGTGACTTTCGTTCTAGCAGCCGTTTCGGAGCTGACAGGGTCTTTTTAAAATCATACTTGTGCCTCAAAACACTGCAGAACACAGAAAAATATGACACCGTGCCAAGCAGCACCCTAAAACTGCTATTACTGAAAGGAATTTTTTAAGACTGTGAAAATGTATTGGACAATTCAAGAATCACTGTAATATGCTCAGAAGCGCTTATATTTTTAATGCCGACTATACCCCATTTTAACAACTGCTATGCATTAAGCACTGAATTTCACAGTGTTCTTAATAGCTTTAAGAGTCAGCTTTCCCTGCTACCTGTGGGATGTGCTTAAGATAAAAGCCCGATTCAACAGGGTGAAAAAGTATTTACCATTTGGCATCAAACCAAATCCAGACACAATAAGGAAATAAAGTCTGTTTTAACTGTCTAACTGCAGATGTTTCTATTGAAGTACAAGCAGCTCTGAAAAAGCAGTTGGAAATACCTAGAACATGCTGAATGATTTAATAAAATAGTATTGACATTTATTAACTGGAATAGGGGAGTGGGGATAGCTAAACTGCTTATAGATGAGCCATGAATACCGAACCTTCCCATTTTCCTAACAAGAACAATTGTGGCTTTTAGGCTTTGGGCTAAGTACAAGGTCACCACCACTGAAATGACACTTATCTATCCATTTTATTTAGACATTTATGTAAGATTCCCTAAAAAAAACTGCCTTTTGCACAAAACAGAGGAGGAAAACAAATTGGGCCCCCCCCCCAAAAAAAAAAAAAGAAAGAAAAAAGAAGAAGAAAGAAGAGGTGGCAATAGGAAGCTTAAAATGAAATTCAGAACAACACAAATTTTTGCTGCACACAGGAACGTGCAGCATTTCATGCTCCTGCGTGTAAATACTTTTAAATTGTATTCTTGTCTTTTGAATTGTATTCTTGTTAGGAAAAATCAACTCTGGCAAAGGGATATTGCACCTTTAGGTACCTTCGTGGTGACAGCATAAGGAAGGCAGCGTTGCCGCAGCACAGAGGCAGGAGGGGAGAAC